TCTTTCAGTTAATATTACAAGTCTTTCACATATAAAAAAGTCACATTTCTTAATGAAGTATTTTTAATAAAATAAAATAAAGATTTGTCCATGAATATGTTGAGTATTTGTTTTGAATAGTCCGTGTGCAGAGTAATTTTATGTTATAATTAAAAATACTTTTCGTCATCTCAAATTTCCTTTGTTTAATCCCTAAAAACCTCCTAATGCATTTCAAAGGTTTTTTCTCTCTCTAAATCCTTATAGTTTATGTTATTTTCTCTATCCTATTTCAAATCGGGATCCGTAAATTCGAACCACCAAAAAATATTGGAAAAATAAACCTAAATTAACCTTCTTTTCTTTCTAGTATGACCTCAAATTGTAACATGAAACCACATTCATTTATCCCTAAGTTGCTCTAAGTTTGTAACATTATACATCTATTAATAATTAAATTTTATTGTTTTATTGCCCTTTGAACCGTGTCTAACTGCTATCCGCACCATTATAAGTTGTAAATCACTCGGAGAACGTGCAGCTCAAATTAAGCTATCGAATTACATTACCCACAAGCTGCTTGCGGGTGTGCTTCGTGAACAATTTTGATTATATTATTATTACTTATTTTACCTATTCTAGTCTTAAATAACTTAAAAAGATCCGTAATTTTAATTTTAGTTACTTTTATAATAATAAATAAAGAATAAATATGAAAAACAATAAATAAAGTACTTACCTAATCTTCTTTTTTCTTGTCCTCGATTTTCGATGAGAGTTAAGCCTGATTTTTTTAGTGATTATAGTAAAGCACTTAACAATTTTTATTTAATTAAATAATGCACCAAAGAATATAGACTAATAACATGTAAGAGTAGACAAATTCACTTCTAAAAAATTTCCTGGCTTTCTAACTATGCGACAAGAACTATTACAAATTCATCCAAGCTAGTCGTTAACTTTCCCATGGGAACGATGTTGCTAATCAGAGTGAAATTGCCAGTTATCTGTTCAGAACACAATGTTATTCAATACGCCATTTGATAGATGAAAACCTTGACTTTCTAATGGTTATAGGTAATGTATAATGAAATGTAAGAGAGGACTATCAACGAA